CAGCAGCTGTCTAACCTGTTTGGGGCTTATCGCACTGCCTGATGTTTGGATAGTGGACAAGCAGAAATATTATTTACTGACACCTGTGTTCATATGATTTTTGTAGCACCCAGAGGTCCTATTGGTGTTTGTAGTCATAACTGCGTTGACAGTCAGCCCGGGTTTGGTCCCGGGGAGGAGAAATCAGGATGCTCCATGAAATACCCTTTCTGTCCTCTCAGGAGAGAAGCGGAAATGAGTGTCCTTTCTGCTCGCTGGGTTCGAGGCAGATGACGCCGTGCCCATTAGCAGTGGGATAGCGGATAGCTGGCAGGTCCTGTGTAATCTGGTTCCCTTGTGTGTGCGCAGCAGGTACCACATCTGGGGGGTAGTGTCCCGAGTAGGATTTATGGGGCCTTCAGGTGCAATGGCTCCAGTTGAAGAGCAATGGGGTTTCCTCTGTCTAGACCAGCGGTTCTCAACCTGTGGGTCGCAACCCCTTTGGGGGTCAAACGACCCTTTCACAGGGGTCGCCTAAGACCGTCGGAAAACACATCTATAATTACATATTGTTTTTGTGATTAATCACTATGCTTTCATTATGTTCAATTTGTAACAATGAAAGTACATCCTGCATATCAGATATTTACATGACGATTCATAACAGTAGCAACATTACAGTTATGAAGTAGCAACGAAAATAATTTTATGGTTGGGGGGTCACCACAACATGAGGAGCTGTGTTAAAGGGTCGCGGCATTAGGAAGGTTGAGAACCACCGGTCTAGAATCACTGGAGCATTATTATTCCTCAGGATTAACTCTGTTTGTCCAAGTGTATAACACATGTTTTGAAATAGAGTATTGATATAACGTAAGAATATCACGTACCCTTAGCAATATCTCAGTACTTCACATAATACTCTTTTCATGGTGCAATTTGACACGTTGTCTTGGAAGGTTAGAAATTCTAAAAGATTAAACAAGACATTGCAGACGTTAGAGAGGGGATCAGTGGGCTTATCAAACTCTGCCATCGTCGTAATCTGATGAAAGAACTCTGCCTCTAGGGACTTTCAACTATGAAATTTTTTTCAGATTTCCTTTATTTTTCCTAATTTAGCGCATTAGCTTTTAGTCAGATTAGGTATAAATAAGTAATTACCCTTTGTCTTGGAGGTGAAGTCATTCGATACCTCCCGGAGCACACATTTAATGTTAGTCAGACCCTCTGTTTCCTTTCTAATGGGGGCATCGGAGATAAGTGCTTCATTCATAGATCGAAGTGCATAAATCTAAAGCTCTGTGCACTAAGTTGCTTATCATGTGACACTTTGATTTCCCTTTTCCATTAACAAGTGTCTTTAGAGCATGTGCAGTTATTGGAAAACCATTGCTGCTTCTCATTTTGCTCAAGTCAGGAAGGCATCTCCTCTGGACATCTCTTAAACTCCCGGTGAGTAACCGGAGGCCAGGCTGGCTGAGTCATCAGCACCGAATTCCCGTTAGACCAGTGGTTCTCAACCTTGGCTGCACATTAGAATCACCTGGGAATCTTTTTAAAATCCTGATTTCTGGGCCTCATCCTCCGGAAATTCTGTTTCTTTGTTATGGGGTGGGGCCACAACATGAGTAACAAGAAAAGATTTTCCAGAGGATGAGGCCCAGAAATCAGGATTTAAAAAG